AATTATATTTTGTATATGCAGAAGTTCTGATGGAATCAACATTAGAATGGAATCATCATCAGAAGATCAGCAACCTGTGCTACACGCTGAAGCTACCAGATTACACGCTGAAGCTACCAGATTATACACTGAAGCTTGATGACCAGAATCTGCGCCTAAACAAATACACTCTGACTCTGATCAAAGACATCTTTACCAAGTCATCAACACTCTGAAGCGTTATCAGCAGATACAGCAAAGAAGACTCTGAAGCGTTACTGGTTATTCAAGACAAAATTAAATGCTAACGGCTTTCTTCAGACAAAGATCTTCTACAAAAGGAAAGTGCATTATTATCATTAAAACCTGCTTTATGGACAACGTATCTTTTCCTGCCTATATAAACAGTTCTGCTTGTGAAAAGAAGCACGTACGTACGCACTCAAAATTTGCCAAGCTATCCAAACCACGCATATTCAAAGCTTTAGCAAATTCATTTTATTCCAAGCTTATTTTGTGTAATTATCACAGTTGTCATATACAGTTTTGTAAGAAAACATCAACACACACTTGTTCAATTCATTTGTAAAAGAAGTTCCTTGAGATTAACCGGATTGTGGTTGTACTCAAGAAGACTTTAACAGTTATTAAAGTAGCTATTGTAATCCTTTGAGAATAGTGGATTAAGACCTCATTGGAGAGAAGCGAAATCACCTTGACGGGTGGACTGGAGTAGTTTGAGATCAAACGAACCAGGATAAAAATACTGTGTTGTTAAGCCTTTTGATTTAAGTTTTACAATTCAACCCCCCTCCCCCCCCCCCCCCCCCCCCTTCTTGTGTTTTTCACATCTTCAAGCTGGTAGGCTTCCTGTGATTGATGCATCCCAGAGTTATTTTAGACCAAATTCTGAGATAATCCTTCAGATCATTTATTTTGTTGGATTGTTGGCCAAAAGTAAATATTTCCTTTGAGACCATGGTTAGGTCATAACTTTTGTTTTCCATATCACTGCATCGAATACTACCGCCATTCTGACCTATGATTTGAATTTCCAATAATATAGGATGTTACCTAATGATTTGAAGTTATGGCATGGATCCAGAATTCTTTCACAAGTTTTGGAAAAACTAGACCTATGAGGCAATCAAAATACTTTGTCCATCCTTGGAACTCAACGTCAGGGATTAAATCATACCCATTTTTCTTCATGCTTACGAAATCAACAATAAGCTCACACAGAACTTCCAGAGAATCAATGGGTGTGAGAAGAGTTCTTGATGGTTCGATGTACCTTTCTTCATTTCAGGAGGAAGAACCAGGGATGGTTTGAGAAACTTGAGAAATTTGTTGAGAGGAAGCCATTTGTTCGCAGACTCTTTTAGGGTTTTGAAAAATGAACAGATGAAAAGAGAAAAGTGAGTGACAGTGAATATGTTATAGTGTTTGTGAGAGAGTGAAGTGTATATATATATATATATATATATATATATATATATATATATATATATATATATATATATATATAGCCAACGGAAACAAAATAGCAGAAACAAAATAGCAGTTTTAATTAAAAGGAAAGGAATTAAAAGAAAATGATTATGAGCATTTAATTATTCCTGAAAAGAGGGATAACGTGAAGATATAGAACAATTATCGATTTGACTCGAGCCTCAATGCATCAACTCAACCGTTTCAGTCCCTTCAGAATTTGAATATCTGTTCAGCCTTAGAAAGTGACCTTGCGTTTCGAGTTGGAAGATGTTAATGTTGTGAACTGTTTGCATCTATCTTAGAAATGAACCGTTTTTGGAGAATGCTCAGATCTTCTCTACAGCTTTCCTTCTCACTTCTGAAGAGCTATTGATCAGATGTTCACACAAAGAAAATTATAGCATAAAGTTCTGAGGGTTTAATATACATAAACAATATTATCATTATGGGCATAATTTCATATTGAGATGATTCAGATTGAAATTAAATCTATCTTCAGAAAGGGGTTTAGTGAAGACATCATCCCATTGATGGTCTGTGTCTATAAATTTTAAAGTGAGAATTCCTTTCTGAATACAGTCCCTAATAAAATGATGTTTAATTTCTTTATGTTTAGCCCTAGAATGTAAAATATGATTTTTTGAAAGACAAATGGGAGAAGTGTTATCACAGAGGATATGAATGTTACTCTCATATATGTTAAAATTTTCAAGATGACTCTTCATCCAGAGCATCTGTGTGATGCGTCCAACTACTGCTATATATTCAGCTTTAGCAGTTGATAGTGCAATGGTGGATTGTCTTTTGCTGGACCACGAGATTCGGTTGTCTCCCAGAAATTGACAGCTTTCAGAAGTACTTTTTCTTTTTATTCTGTCTCCGACAAAATTAGTGTCACAGTACCCTACTAATTTGTATTATCTGGATTTTCTATAGCAAAGATCAAGATTAATAGTACCTTTCAGATACTTAAAAATTCGCTTAACGGCTGTTAAGTGAGATTCTCTAGCCACATCCTTAAATAGGTGGCTAGGCCAATATATTCACAACTATTTTCGAGGTACTAGCATGTCCGCCATAGTAAGAAGCATGGCAATGGGTCATTATACTCTCCATTTCTTATTCAGGGATACACCTCTGGAATATTCTATCGACACCTCTCTTAATAATCATGGATTAATTCCAATAGTAATGCCTTAAGTCCAAAAAGAACTATTTTGTTGAAGTTTAAAACCGAAGGTAAGACCCCCACTCCAAGATACTTCACATAATATGCATACCATGATGCTTCTATTTGTATCATCCCAAACAAATTATCACTAGGAAAAGAGTCTTCCAGTGGGAAATGATTTTTCTTTGTATCGTTCAGTCTTTATAGGTGATCTACTACCACATTTTTTGGTTAACTTGTTATCCATAATTTCCTTTTTGAATTTCTGAAACAATAGGATCCAACATGTTAGCCTTAGTTTAACATCCTTTTTATTTAGGGGTACTTAATGGCTGCATGATCTGTATATATTATACTTTTTGATTCTATTAAGTAAGATCAGAATTTATTATTTGCAAACACTACATCCAATAGTTCCTTCTTCGTTGTTGCATTGTTAAGTGGTTCATCCAAGGTTCTGCTTGTGGAATATATGGCATGCATTTTTTTTGTCCTTCTTTTGCCCTAAAAGAGCCCCTACAACATAGTGGCTGGTGTCACACATAATCTTAAACAGAATACTCCAATTAAGAGGTTGCATATTTGGTGTAGATATCAATACTTCTTTCAATTTTTGGAAGGATTCAAGGCAATGCTCATCAAATACAAAATTTGCATTCTTCATTAGAAGCCATGTTAATGGTTTAGAGATTTTAGAAAAATATTTAATGAACTGCCGATAAAATCTCGCATGGCCAAGGAAACTCATAACTTCTTTTTCTTTCGCAAACGTGGGAGGTGTTAATTTTTCTATTATCTCTATTTTAGACATTGCCACTTATATCTCCTTGTTGGACACCAAATATTCAAGCCCTATGTCTTTCCTAATCATAAAATGACACTTTTTCCAATTAACGATAGGATTTACCTTCCTAGATCTTTCAAGCATATTGTCTAAATTAGTAATATAATCATCAAAACCTGATCCATAGACAAAAATAATCGTCAATAAAAACTTCCATGATATCTTTCAGAAAATCTGAAAAGATTTACATCATATAACATTGAAACGTCGGGGGCATTACACAATCCCAAAGGCATTTTTTATAAGAGAATGTGGCATAAGAGCAAGTAAACGTTGTTTTCCATCCGATTTCGATCTATCCAAACAAAAACTTATATTATTGCTAAATTTTAATAAAACACTACATCTCTTTTTTGATATTATAAAATTTAGTTTTTTTACTGATAAAACAACAAGTGTCCACCTTTAAACACATTAAGAGGTCAATATGTTACCAACAAAAAGAAAAAAACACAAACCTGCTTATGCTAGAACTAGTAGGCAGCAATCATCATTAAATGTATAGGAAGTTATCATAATCTGTAATTGCAGCATGGAATATAAATTGCAGAATCAGTTAACATCAGTCATCTGCTGAAGTTGTTGCAAGTACATTTCAATTTCTTGAATGCATGGAGTTCTAACAATATCCATATAATCTCAAACCAAAAGACAAATAACATCTCAATCAACAAAACTCCAAAACCACAGACACTATAACCAAACACCACACAATAGAATCAACAACAAACAATTCATATAGATCCCAACACTATAGACAATTGGTCCACCATAGATATCAAGATCACAATCACATGTAAAGTTTTCTCAATACAATCTAACATTCAAGTAAAACCAGTATCGTTTATCTAACATTTCAAAATATAAATTTTACTGAAGTTGCACAGTGCTAGAAAAAGCTCAAAGATCTTGAACTTTAATTCTGCTGTACTTTCTTCTCTTACCACCAACACCAAGTGGTCTATAACTATATATAATATATATAGCTTCTTAAATATTTCCTATATGTCAGTTAATGTTAACTAAAGTTTTCAACAATAAAAATTATGTAAAACATAAAAGATCTAATAGAAATAAATTTGAACTTTAATTTATATAATTTAAATAATATCAATTTATCAACCACACTTTAAATATTGGCTAGAAATAATACACGCAGCATATATATATCTTTTGAAGCCAAATTGTCACATACCCTTGGCTGATCTTTGAGAAAAACAAAAACAATACAAATTCAGTACAGAACAACAGACATTGTCTAAAGTGAAAAATAGGGCAGAAAAATAAAAATGTCTTCAAATGATAAAATGATTCCTTGCAAAAGTACTTTAAGAATAGTTCATTCTGATCTCAGAAGATGCTGATATATCTATATATCTATATATATATATATATATATATATATATATATATATATATATATATATATATATATATATATATATATATATATATATATATATATATATATATATATATATATATATATATATATATATATATATTCATCAGCTAATATCTATTTGGACTGTTATTGCATTCTTCCCATGATTTTCCAAAGATTTGTAGCCCTAGAAAATTAAAACCTAAAAACTGTAAGTATAAAAAAATAAATAAAAAATGAGAAATAAAATTAGCTTTTTGTTGTATAAAATAAGCAAATGAAATTAATTACCTGATGACAGATTCATTCTTGATATTGCAGAAAAGTTGGATCTTCCTGTTGCAGCAGCATTATTATTATTATTATTATTATTATTATTATTATTATTATTATTATTATTATTATTATTATTATTATTATTATTATTATTTGTATCCCAATTTGTTGATAACATTGGAGAGTCATTGTGATCAAAACTAATGTTTTGTTGATGATGTTGTGAAGAAGATTTCTTCAGCTTTCTCTTAATCACAATTGATTCCTCAATAAAGTTAAAGATATCATCTCTTTGAGCTAGTTTCGAATTTTCGTCGTCGTTAGGCATCAATTGATGAAGAATTTGCTGATTATGATCAGTTTCTGGGTACTTTTCCTTCAAATCTTGAATCTTCATTTCACTTGTTCTTTCTCTTGCTCTTGCTCTTGCTTTCTCTCTTGAGTCTTTCATCTTTGAAGATTCTTTCTGTGCTCTTTTCATCTTCCGAACTTCGTCTTCTCCTTCGGAAGACGAAGAAGAGAGGCTATGATCATCAGCATCATCCACACCAGAAGCTATATTGTTCTTGCTTCTAGTTAACTCTTCAATTGCTTCTTTTGATTTGTTGAAAAGCCACTCAAGTGTGTTGCTAGCTTTGTCAAACCCTAACATGTCTTGAAGATCGAAGAACTTCCGCGCTATCTCGATGGAGAGCCTCACCCTTCTGTCTCTCAAACCTTGAGATGTATGAATCTTGCTGTGCCGGTCTTTCTTGGCCGGTTTCTTCAGCGGCTTTTTGGCAAGCAAATTTGAGAAGTTGTAATGAGAAGAACCACCACTTAGATCTTGTTTGAGCATTGCAGCATAATCAGCAACTGCCCAATTTGTTAGTGTTTCAGGATTAATTGGAACATGATGATGATGATGATGTGAAGTTTGTGTGTATGGAACAGAAATAGTTGGATCATGAAGAAAAGTGTTGATGTTGTTGCTATTGTTGTTTGAAGAAGCATTTTGGTCAGGGGTAAGGTAAGTAAAAGGAGGGTATGAATGTGAAGATGAAGAAGAATTATAATTAGGGTAAGAACCTAAAGAGCAATAAGTGGAAGGAAACATTTGAACAAGTTGAAAACAAAACCCTAGTTTCTTGTTTTCACAACAAAACAAAAACACAAAAGTTATAGCTATGTTCTAATGGGATATAGTGAAGTAGCTTACTCAAAACAACTTTTTACACAGATATTAAATTTTTAGTGGAAAGAAACTAGTTACTAGTTAAGGACTTAAAGAGCTAGAAGAAGAAGAAAATGATAAAGATATGGAAAGTGAGATTTGGTTTGCATAGTTTCCATTGTAAGAAGAATAAGCCTCCATATTTATCTGGGTCTGAGATGGACAAGGCTCATGGGGAGGTACTATTGAAGAAGAGAGAGGAAATAATAATGATGATGATTATATTAATATAATAAGAAGAAAAATTAGGTGCTATGTAATATATAGATATTATTATTTTTAAATAAATAAATGCTAATATATAATATTCAAGTGTTGAATGGGTTGTTTGTAAAATTTAAATTATTTTTATATTAATTTTAACATTCTTAACATGATTGTCTTTAATTATATTGGGACAAAATATATAAGAAATTCTATTTAGATACGTTGTATATACATGGTGGAACTTATTTATTCATAGTTTAATATGGGAATTTTACCGCGACTCTAAATTTCAAAAAGAGTTTTTGGTAAATTAGAATTAAATAACTATTTAAATTTGTCTATACTAAAACTAATTAGTTATTTAACCAATTGAATTGAATTCAATTAATATGTAGTTTTATTAGATTAAATATATTTTAGTCAAATTTAAATTTATACGCAATTTATAGAATTTGTAAGTGCCCTGGCTGGAGAGTTGGCTTCATTTGTAAAACAAATAAGAAAGCAAGTTTACCCATATTCCCTCTGTTGTTTTAATATGTTGGGTTGAAGAAGTTCAACATCTGGACCAACATGTTATGTAAGATGTCACAATATCAGCATATGACATCGCGCCTGAAATTAAGTTAATATTAGTTAACTATGTTATATGTTGAATGTTTGTAACAGCTGTGACTTGTAACCTAATTGTTTTAAGTGATCTAATTTATGAAAGAGGTTATTTGTTGTATCAGCAAATGAGCGTGGTTCTCCTAAACATGTTGTATTGAAGAAGTTCAACATCTGGGACAACATGTTAGATGTAATGTCATGACATCTGACTAGACATCACGCCAACGGAATTGGTAATTCAGTTACAGTTCTGGTACTTAAATATTCTGAGAATATATGTGGCGTTTCTTATGGAGAATCTGAAGGTCAATCAAGAATCAATCAAAATATTTGAAGAAAATGTTGTTTCTAAATATGGAGATATTTTAGGAACTAGAAGATTGAAGACCTTGATTGTAGCAGAAGTTTGTTGCTGTTTTGTAACAGCAAGGAGAAAAGCTTGCTGCGATTTTGAAGGCCCAAATCCAGTTGGGTAATAGGTTATAAATAGCAGATTGTAACCTAGGGTTTGTAAGGCTCATATAATGTAATATTGGGGGTGTTCTGTTAGGTAAACCTGTCGGTCTGTGGCAAGGTTACCATGTGTGTAACTCGATACCTGTAGGTAAGAGTTTGAGTGTTCTTGGACGAAGCTGTGAAGCAAGTCTAAGTATTTTTGCATTACTTCATATTCATTGTAATGTAGGAAACCAAGTGGGAGGGCACTACTTCTTGAGTAGGAGTAAGACTTCTGTTGTTGCGACAATAGGAATGGAAACTGGTAGGTTTCTATCTAGGAGTTCCTAGGTATAGGTTGCACTGGGTAAATGATTAAGTGAGGGATGGGAACTTGTGAAGTTTAGTCCTGAATTAATATTGCTGATAGTGGATCTTCTTCCTGGCTTGGTATGCCTCCAGAGTAGGTGTGTTTCACCGAACTGGGTCAACAACTGATTTGTGTTTTTACCTTCAACACTTTATAATTCTGTCTGTTATATATCAAGGTAAAATTGTAATGTTGTAACAGATGATGTCTCAGAACATGTTAAGACATCATGCTGATATCTGTGCAGGAGAAACAGAACTGTGAAGGTTGTTTGCTCTCTGCTGATCATGTGCAACAGATGAACAGAACTAGGTACATCGTGTGTTCTATCCTCTGCACCTTCAAAGTATATCTGGCGCAGCTTGGATAAAACTGTGCTTCTGTTATTCTTTAGTACTGAATCACGAAAAATTGGGTATCTACCTTGCAGTGTATTTATTATGTCATATCAGATGTCTAGACATTGAGTATAACATCTGAAGACTGGCATACACCAGAATTTCAATTGGTATCAGAGCAGGCATCCTGTTCTATTTCTGGATGAGATCCATGGGTGATACTTTCTGCTATCTGCAAGGTCAATCTTAGTACTGGAGATTGTAACCTGGAAAGGTTTGTTATTTCCCTGAATGGTCCCTTAAAGTGGGAGGATGGACTATTCATGACAGGAACTGTGTGTACCTGTCTTTGGTGATTGGCATTTGGCCTGGTTGTGTGGTAGCTGCTCTAGGTTTGATTTATTTTCAAACCTAGGATTTGTGTACGCCTAAAGTGTGTGTGCAAAGATTGAGTTGTATTATGTTCTTCCGCTGTGTAATACTTGGCAAAACTCAAGCTCTGATGTGTTTCCCCTCTTGTGGATTGAAGGCTACTGTATTCAAGAATTCAACATAAGCTATTGAAGATGTCACATATACTTGAGTCCTCTCAAGTCCACTCATGAAGACGTTCTTCGTTCAGGATGGTAAGAATCACATAATCACGGATTAGTGTTATACGAAGACCTTGAAGAATTTCAAGGAGGGCCTTGTTCCAAGGTGATGGAACTGATGTTCTATGTGATGGTGGAACAAGTATGCAGCTACTAGTTGAAGTGCATATGTTTTGGGTGTCAAACAAAGGGATACTTTTGTTTGGAACCTACTCCTGACCTGGAAGAGGAGACATCTGTGTGTGCAAAGTTGACAATGGTAGAGTCAACTATGTCTGTGTGCTCCCGAAGGTTACTTTTAGGAGTCAGAACTCTAGAAGTGAAGCTGGTTGAGATGTGACATTGATCAGGGCTGAGCAGTTGTTCCCTGGAGTACTATGGTGTGAAGAAAGACAAGCTCATTGGTTAATAAAAGTCAATGATGGTGCAGCATTATTGCTCCTTCATAGAAGTAGATTGGGATCATGAATCTTGTCATTTAAACATCATGATTAGAAGTGGAAGATCTTTCAAGATGTGAGAATATGAAGACTCAGAATTTGGTTAAGGTAGTATGTTCTGGCAATACATATCTGCTGATGATTGGTGTTGTTGTCTTCTCTGAAGTACTTAAGGTCAGCTGAAGTCTGATTGGTGTGATTGGAGTATGAACAGGTATAACTCTTGGAGTTACTTGAATCTGGTAGGGATGTCATATGTCATGTCGAGACATTTGTGTACAATGCATGGATATTTTGTGTGGAGCTTCCATGATTGGTAGTTTGAAGGGGAGATTTGGTTAACCTCCTCACATTAGTTCAGCCTGGTGTTTAGCTGGTTGTTGACCTATGTCACATGGGTTCTGGGTGTTGTGTGTGACATATTTGCAAGGAAGGATTCATCTCTCTCATTCCTAAGGATGAATCTGATCTGGTAGGAGTTTCAAATCTGTTGAGGTGAGTAGAGTTTGTTCAGAGAAAATTCTATTTACTTGAGTCAAGGGTGGCAACCTAGATATCTCAACTCTTTGGTCTCTCAAAGAAAGTGCTTGCAAGAAGAAGATATTAACACACGAAGAGTATGTCAAAGTATTCAAATGGTGAAAGTATCTTACAGGATAATGGGAAGGATTTATGATCAATTGCTATTTGTGACAAGTACAAGTATTTAATTGATTATCCTTGGAGTTCAAGATAACTGATGTTCTTAAAGATGTGGGAACATTCCTTCTTCTAGACCCTGTGAAGAATCACAGGAAGAGTGATGCTTTAGAGCTATCTCTTTGGTGACAGCAAAATCATTTGATCCTTGAAAAGGTTTCCTGGAAACGTGTTCAGACTTGAAGCTACAAGAAGAAGAAGACATCATAATCTTGATGATGGTTACTTGGATCAGTCTGGTTCTGATCTAGGTAAGGAAGTAAATTAGAGAAGGAGCTGAATTCAACAACTAGATGTTATAACATAATGTTGTGACATTTGGTTCAACATCAGATTCTTGGTTGGTGAAGTGGCACATCAACTTAAGATAGGATGATCTACGAAGTTGAAGATTGGATACTTCAAAAAGATCGTCTCTTTGCAGCTCTTTGGAGTTGTTGGGTGGAGAAGATGTTACATGTTCCTGTCTTAGTGTATCTAAGCCTTTTGTGATAACTTGTAGCTTGAAGTTCAAATTTCAATTGGAAGATCAGAATATCTTTGGGAGAAGTCTGATAAACATGGAGAAGTCAAAAGGTGGCATTTGTTTTTTTCATATGAGGATTCATGAAGGAGATAATCAAACAGTGGCATTTGGTCTATCTCAGCAGTGGATTCAGAGAATCAAGATAATCAACATGTGGCAGCTGATTATTATCGAGAAAGTTTGATTCAGAGTATGAATGCGTTCAACCAATATTGTTGAACAGAGGGTGCGCTCTTGAAGACATGAAGATGCGTCTTATGTTTTCCATTCATCAAGGGGTCTTATTTACTTTGAATCAGAAGTTGTCTTGAAGGTCCAACTGAGTATTGAATGTGACCTACTTGTTTCCATGAGGAGAAGTGATTGTCCCTAACAGGGGGAGTATTGGTTTGTACGAAAAGTCTTCATCAAACTCGTAGGATATAAAGTGTGGCACTTTATTAACTATTGGGATGATGTGTTCAAGACTGAAGAGGACTATGTCTGACCGAATGTCATCACATTGCCTAATGACATTGTTCCTAATTTCCTCTAAAACTACAGACAGGAGGAAAATTGGATGAAGTGTGGATTATTATTAATAAACCCATGTGTGTACAGTTGTATGACTCAGAGGGAGTAACCATCCTCTTTGTGAAAATGGAATGGTTTCAAGCTGCTAAT